ACACAGGGCTCCTGTTCCCCTTCTCCCCTCCATCCCACTTAAAATCCAATTTGAGCTTCATATGTTGGGTCAACCTCCTTTCTAAGGCTGCAGTGGGCTTATAGCACTTGGCACTCAGTAGAAACTCAATAAGTTATTATGAATAGACTAGTAACCCGGTGCACAGATTCGTACATATTGAAATTAATTAGAATGTGGCCAGTGGGGTGGGACTGGGCAAGAAGGGCTGCACACGCCCTGAATCCAACCTTCTGCCATCCATCTTAGTGTCTGCAGAGTGAGCGGGATCCCTCTGGCAAGTGGGGTCCCTTGGCTTGGCCTGTGGGGATCAGGTGAAACTGGCTCTCTGACATGCCCCAAGGGGTCCCAGAGTGTAAGAGGGCACTTTGAAAAGTTGTTATTTACAGGGTATGGAATGCAAATGCAAGTGTGCAATAAACCAGTGCCCCAGCAACAACATAACCTATGGCAGAAGGTGGAATCATGTGGCCCTGTGAGGAATCGGGCTCCCTCCTCTCTGGTTTCAGGGTGCATCACCTGAGAACTGCCGCTGCCAAGTCACTGCAGCTTGGCAGCTCCTGCATTAAGCATCTGCCCCCTGGTGGTCAGTGTGCATCATGGTGACTGGTTGGCCAGGCAGAGGGACACTTAGCATATTAACCTTATATATATATAGATGAGGATGCTGGCAAGCATTTGTGTTAGGTTTGTGTCCAGGGTTAAAAAGCTATGCTCTGGATAATATTGAAGATTAGTCTCTGACAAGGTCAAGGTTAAAGAGTCAGTCTGAGCAGGATGGGAAAGTCAACCATAGGAAGGGGTTTGGAAGTCAGGCTTTGTTGGGGGTCAGCCAATCTCTGATGAGAGTAGAGGTCAATCTGGTTGGGATGGGAGGTCAGCCATTGAATGGGGTGTTCTGCATTGCTCCTTGCAAAGCTGTTCCTTCACACAGCATCCCTGGCATTCCAAACCTTCCTGCCTAGTCTAGAATGTCTAGTATCCGAGAAGAATCAGGTCCAGCTCCAAGAGCAGAGGGGCTCATGTGCAGCACCAAGAATTACACTGGAGGGACAGGGTAACCTTGTCTCCAGGGCTGACCTCAGCAGCTGGCCTGGGACACAGGCCCTGTGTGAAAGGAGCAGCGACTAAAAGGACTTTAGACCCTTAGAGGCATTTCCTGTTTTCCAGTGAGTTGAAAACCCGGCTTCCTGCTTAGAATAGTCCATAGGGATGGTTTCTTTTTTTGGTGGTGGGAGGAGTAGCCGAGGGTGGAGGATACAGGCTTTGCTGGGCTTGCGGACCAGCTCTCAGGGCTGTGCTAGGAGGTGGCATGGGAAAAAGGGTGGGACAGGGGAGAAGGAACCCTCAGAGGCTCTGCCCTGCTTCCTGGCTGCACTTTAGTATTCACATTGAAAGCCTTTAGAAAGAGCAACACATGCCTAATTCCATCAAACAATCATGGAAAGAGAAACAATCACCAAAAGGAGCCGGCTGGGAAGAGCCCCATCTTCGGTGCCAAACAGAAGCAGTTCAAATCACAGGCTTGTGTCCCAGGGGCTAGCCCTGTGACTTGGACAATTTTCTGATTTTCTGACCTCACTGAGCCTCAGAGGCCTCATTTCTCAAATGGGAAGCTTAATTACCACTTCCCAGGTGGAATAGTGCCCTGCGGCCCATGACAGACACCTTGGAATCAGTCTCCTTCCCTCCAACTGAGCAGCGGTGGGGGCAAGGGGAAAAGGTACCTGGGAGTGAGGGCTCCCACAGAGAGAGGCACATCTGTTCCCACAGCAATCTAATCAGCTCCACTTCTGCTAGAATAACCTGCCAGCAGCTGCTGCTATCCTCTTACCAGACCATCATCCCCTCAATTCTTGGCTCTTTATTGCCTCATTGGATGGTAATTTGGTGATATGGAAAGATTTTCCTCTACCCCTGCCAGGGATCACCCAGGAGCCCCCCTCCCCAAAACATCCACAGAGATGCAGATTACACCCCATACCCTGCTGGGATGAATGGAATGTGAAGCGGGCCCATTTAAGGAAGGGCCACAATGTTTAAGGAGGTATTGGCAAGGGACCAGGTCCTCTGATGGTAGGGCTAAGATCTGGAGGAGGAGCAGGCCTTGGTAGGAGGTGTGTGTGTGTGTGTGTGTGTGTGTGTGTGTGTGTGTGTGTTGAAATCTCTGGAGGCACAGCCGCTGACTCACATGGCCCCAGAGGCCCCAGCTCACCTGCAAAGCAAGCAGCCTCACCTGGCTCCTATTGGCTCCCTTCTCCTAGTCTTTCTCCTCCCTTAGAAGTCTCTCCTCCCTCATTCTCTCCTCCTACTCCCTAAATTCAACCCTGGCCTTCCAGGTTGTCAGGAAAGTGTTTTTGTCAAGGGTTGGGGCTAGAACATATTTTATTTAACAATAGTTCGATTTATAACTTAAAAAATATTTAGCACTATGGTCTGGACCTCTATTTGTACTCTTGCATCAAATGTTAGGGGTGGCCTGGATCTTCTAACACAGCATATGATTCACTTAATGGTTGTATTTACTCTTATTATTTGTCAACACCCCTCCCCCAAGTTAGTCCTGTTACAACACAGGTTTTTATCTGTTTTGTTTATGGATGTCCATATGAATGGCTGGCACAAAGTAAGAACTCTATGAACACCTGTGGAATAAATTTGTGGAACAAATGAGAGAATGAATTGTTTTGTGTTCTCTTTCTGTCCTTTCCAGACCTGAACTGTCATTGGGTCTGAGCACTGGAACAATTTTGTTTTCTTATCCATAGAATGGGCACCAGAATGGGGTTGTAAGGACTAAAGACATTCTATAATTCCTGAACTGCCATTCCTTTATCTATAAAATGGGATTCTATATACTTCATGTGATTTTTGTGAAGTTTAAAAAATGACCCATGTGAAGTCCTGAGCACAATGTCTAGAACAAGGAAGATAATAAATGTGAAATGATTAACCACCTCACAAAAGAAGCATGGATGGGATTCCTGGATGGTGCCCAGGAGGGAAGACTCTTTGCAGAGCCTCTCTAAGCAGCCAGTGGAGCTGCCAGCTCCAGTGGGTAGAGGCTGGTACTTGTTGACCTGGCAGGTTGAAGACTGAGGCTGGCCTGACCTCACTCTCAGGCAGCATTTACCATTGCCAGGGACTGGTGGCCAGGGCTTCCCTGGAACACACCTGCCAGTGCCTGGAACATGGTTGAGGTCGGGGGAGAAAGTCCAAATCATGTTTGCTAATTAGCAATTGGCCTCTCTTAAAGCTTCGCTGTGTTGGTGGAGCACATGGATTTGGGAGGATGAGTTCTCACATCGCCAGGACTTTGGAGCAGTCTCTGGGCCACTGGGAAAGAGAGGTGTAGACTCCAGTGAAATGTCCAGAGCCATCTTCTGGCCTTGCTAGAACAGCTCCTTTTAATTTGTCTCCTCCAACTTTTATATAAATTCGTGATAAGACAGACACACTGAAGGGAAGTTTGCTTCTCCTGGGGTGGTCACTTCCCTAGAAACAGCTGCCTGATAGAAGAGGAAACCATGTGGTAAACACAACCTTCTTCGTGGGGTGGGTCTTGAGGGAGGCAGGCCACGTTGCTGGGAGGGAAAGACTGTGAGAGGAAGACACTTGCAGGATGATATACATACCAAAGCCATCGGCAGGCGGCAGGCATATGAAGCAGTGACTTCATGGGCTGACAAGTTGGGTCATCCCGTCCTCTGAGAGTGACACTTAGTAAAACTGTAATCAAGGACACTTAGTAAAACTGCAATCATTCCCACACTCTTCCAGAAAAGGGAATTTTGATTTCTTGAAGTTTCTGGTGAACTCAAGTATGCCTTTGAGTTGCAAATATTCTTGAGAAATCCATGCTGGAGAAAGAAGAGGAGGAGGAGCCTTGGAGAGCCAGCACCTGAGTGAAAGAGGAACTCAGGTGGCTGAGAGAGAAGGTGGCAGTGGCTTTGCATGAACAGACAGGCCAGCCTGCACTCCCTGCCCAGCCAGACAGGGGTTCTCAGACTGGGAGGAGTTTCTTGGACTCCAGGTTCTGAGTAGTAGGCAGAGACTGTGGCCTGAAGAGGCTCGACTGAGCATTGGATGCGTGGAGGTCCAGCATGCGTTCTGGAGAAGACAGCGTGCTGCCTGCTTTGCTGGCCCGTGTCCCGAGCGGCTCCTTTCAAGGCAGCTCCGTGCCACATCCAGTCCCTCAGGCCCCTTCCTCCCTCTGGCGGGCAGTCCCAGAGCAGAGGTGAGGCTGAGGTGGGCAAGGGCATTGTGCAAATCAGGTGACTGGCTCCTTTGTGCATCGTCAAAGGACAAGGGGAAAGTGGGAACTAGGCCTTGGTTTCCATTAGTGCCTCCTTGTCACTCCCAGAGGAAACACAAAAAATGTTCACTGAGACTGAGAAATAAGATTTAACATCATTGTATTTATTAGGTTCAGAAACAATACACATTCACATCCTTTTGAATACAGTACATTTGGCACAATAATGTTTACAATGAAATAACACTAATGAATGGCAAGAGATTAAAATTACATCCAGAAAGGGGGTAAAATGTACAAATAAAGCTTCACAATACAAAAAAAAAAAAAAAAAAAAGGAAAATCCTTAAAATTGAATACATTTTCTATTTAGCCAGAATTAGTCTGCACATAATTCAAAAAGAGGTAATTTCTTTTTTAGCTTTCTTCTGTTTTTCCTTAAAGCGAGAATGCATTGATTTTTTTCACCTTTGGAGGAAAAAGCTGTTTCCGCTCCATAAGGTTTCTCACTTTCATCATGAGAGAACACAGGAGGACAGCTATCCTTCACATGTGTTTTTGGCTTTTTTTTTTTTTAAACTCCATTTTTCTTTTCTGAGAGAGGGAGAGGGAGGGATAGAGAGAGGGAGAGAGAGAGAGTGAGTGAGAGTGAGCTGAAAAGATTAGAATCAGCAGAAATGTAACAGTGTGTCTGCTTCCAAACGCTTGTGAGAACTAAAATGAAGCAATGAATACTCAAGGAACACACAAGCCCTTTCCTATAAACTACATGGGATTTCAGTCCGCCCGTGTGAGAGCTGGATCCGCTCCAGCCCCAAGGAGAAGGCATCCCAGCAATCGTGGAGCTTCGGGTACTGACGGGGGCTGTCCCTGGGCCAGGCAACCTATTGACCGACTGCCTGGAGCTGCTGGGTGGAATGTATTCTTATTTGACTTCCCAGCAAAAATGCCAGCTGTCCCGTTGAAAGGGTCCCACCCCATCGGCATGGGACCACCACCAGGCCCTCAGAGAAGGCCATGTGGCATTGCAGTTGGGATTTGCCTGGTGGTTCAAAGTTCCTCATGGCGAGGGAAGCAGAGGGAAAAGAGAGAGCAGGAGTGAGGCATGAGTATGAGGGGCAGTATTGTCATGTCTTCCTAAAAATATGAGATGATGCCACCATGAAGATGTTTCTGTGCTTGTACTCAACACCAAAAGATAGTCTCTCCCCAGCACGTCAAGTTACCGAAGATAAATTAAATTAACCCACTGTTCTTCATCCCTTCACGGGTGTGCCAAACACACAAATGGATAGAGCATAGTATTTGAACTTATCATAAGAACAGATAATAATTACACCTGAGTTTTTAAAAAATAAAAACAAAAGAGAACTGAATGTCACCATTAGTAACAAAGGCTATGGCCAGCCAGGTGCAAATATGGACAGCAACTCCCTATGGGCTCAAGCCGGTCACTGTCCAGGCTTTGACACCACCATCCAAAAACATTCCTTCCTCTTCCCCATCTCTATCAGGGCAGAACAGAGCCCAGGAGAACTATATGTGAGATTTAATATAGCTTAATATATGTTTACATCTTTAAAAACAAACCAAAATGAAATAAACAATACACAGGAGCTCCCTGACTTCCCCTCCCCACCCCCCTCCCAACCCCCGCAAGAAACAAACACAACTTATCTCTCGGTAACTTGAACCAATACACATACAGAGTATTGCACCTGGACATTATTAGAATTATTCTTTCATAGACTAAAGTTTTATAATATGCCTGAACATGCAGCAGTTGATACCTCTAAATTCAACGAATTAATTCCACAGGCCTTGCAGCAAACACTATATACAAAAAAATCTCAAATGTACAAAAAGGGCAAAAGCTTCAAGGGTGCCACTTTGCCACTCACAAGTATATATTTATTTAGGGGCAGCTGGGAAATCCACGTGCAACAGTTGGAATGGATTCCATTCCCTGCTAAATCAGTTCTCAGCAAAATAGATAATCAAACGACCTCCGGGAAGCATATACACAAAGCCACAGAGAACCCTTGGGAATAAAAGAACGTAACACTGTTAGCGTATCTACAGGAGGTAACATCGCAGCCATTAAATAGTGTCCACGTGAGGTGCCTCTCCGCGTCACACAGAAACAAGCCTCCCGGTCCGCCCGGCCACAGCGTCAGAGTCCAGGCCAGTTGCTTTTCAGTCTCTTGACAGACTCTGCATGACCCATGTTGAACCTCACTCTGCTCGTTCCAAAAGCAGATACTTCATATTCAACTTTACACGTTTCATGTTAAAAAACCACAACACAGTAGTACTACCATTTTGTAGAAGTGCGCAAAAATAACACACTGCTGCAGGAAATAAATAGAGTGAATGCTGGGAACTTAGGACAAAACTGGGAAGAGAATCTGGGAGCTGAGTTTGGCGAGAACCCCAGGGTCGTGGCCGTCAGGGCGGTGGCCTTCGTGTTGAGGCAGAATGTTAACGATGAGGACCGCTCTTGTTTCCTTTCCTCTCCATTCGTACAGCCCCCATGCGCCATGGATGCATGAAGAGTATCAACCTCGGACGACTGGTTTCTCGTTGCATATTAGCCCTTTAATATCAACCTGTATTAACATTGGAATCTTCCTCTGATGGCCAATTAGCAAACGTGAGGGTATCTTTTCCAAATGTCAAGAGAGTGCAAAATGAAATTTTCTTTTTCAAGAAGAGTAATTTCTTCCACAAGATGCATGTTCCCACAACTTTGGCATGTCCCCAAGCCAACACCAGAGCAAGCAAGAATTAGCCATTCCAGACAAACCAACAGGCAGCCCACCTGCGCATTGCCCAGTCTCTCCGTTGTAGGCACGCCTCAGGGTGCGCCCCCTGCCCCCCTTCAGGCTGAAGAAGCAGACAGAAGGGCAGAGGACAGCAGGCGGGGAGACTGGAGGGATGAGAAGAAGCAGGAGTTGTTGGAATTCTATGCCCAATGGCAGAGCCCGAATCTTCTTGCTTGCCTTTTATATCTTCCTTTGCAGTGAAAACAACTGAAGTCGCTTCACTGCCACTAGCCCCTGAGAAGTGGAAACAGCTCCCCAAACACAGCGACATGTCCAGTTAACAGCCGGCCCAACATGGTGCTGCTTTCCTGGTGCGCCGAGAGCCAAGAGTGCCTGCTGGTCATCAGGCAGGAGGAGGCAGGAATTGGCTTGGGCAAAGGGAATGCAATAAATAGAGTGGACAGAGATCGGGGCTCTGGGGAGAAGAAGTAGTTCAAGACCTTCTGAGCCTCTGGAAAACAGCCATCTTCATGGCACCCCTTCTTGCAGCATCACCGAACTCCACTTGGCGGGGGGGGGGGGGGGGGGGAATGCTCAGGGCATCAGGTCTTCACCAAAGTAGGAGAAGCCCTTGAATTCCTCCTGGTTGATCTGCTTCACAATTGCTTCATCCACAAGCGTGAGTACTGGCTCTTCCCGGGTAAAGTCTTGGTCAAAGTTATTGACATCTCTTTTGGTTTTCTGTGAGAAGAAAAGAGAAAGCACTGACTCCGGGCTGACCTTCCTCCCCGGGGCCCCCCACAGGGAGTGGGCATCGAGCTGACCAGCCTCTCGCCAAAGCAGGACACTAGCTACTGAGAGCAGACACGGAGCTGTTCCAATGAGGTCACGATGGATGGCCCCAGGACCAGAAGGTAACAGAGGACTTGGAAAGGAAAAAATGAGTCCAGGTGAGAAGGAAGAAGGAGTGAGAGGGTATGATGGAAAAGCAGGGAAGTGGGATTCCCACAGACTGTATGTGTGCATGTGTGTGTGTGCGCGTGTGCGTTTGGAAGAGTAGGGTGGATAGCTTCCATCTCACACTCCCCCTTCCAGCACCTGCCCTAACCCTCTGGCTTCATTGAGAGCTCCTTCTCTGTAACCATGGTAACAAACTCAAATCCCCTCCCACAAAGCTTCCAGTGCTCTTTCTCCCCTAGACGTAGAACCCCATGCCATGTCTGCTCCATAGGACATCCTCCCTATGACAGGCAAATGGGCAGGGGTGGGAATGTCTTCTGGGAATCCTGCCTTGGTCCCAACCTGCTCTCACCATGAATCTTATTTTGTGCTCCCGTATTATTTCCATTATTTACACTCAGCACTCTAGCTCACAAGGAATCATTTTGCTTTTGTCTCAAGAGCTTCTTAAAGGCAGGGGCCTTATCTTATTCAACCTTGGGTTCCCAGCAATAGACCTGTACTGAATAACTGATGGGGCAAATAAACGCACCCAGCTCAGAAGGACCCCCACCCTTCCTGTCCCGTTCCCCCATTTGGAGTGGCTGGGGGAGAAAATAGGAAGTGTATCTAATGCTCTCTGCCTCTAGGGCAGTGGTTTCTAATGCCTCGACCCTTTAATACAGTTTCTCATGTTGTGGTGACCCCCAACCATAAAATTCTTTTCATTGCTACTTCATAACTGTAATTTTACTATTGTTATTGAATCATAATGTAAATATCTGTGTTTTCCGACAGGACAGTCTGCATTGGTTAGATAGACTTGCATGGAGAAGTGAGGGCTTGGCTAAGACTTAAAGACTGAGTTACAATCATGTTGGTAGAGATGGGAGAAAGGCGCCTTGTCGGAAAGAAAGATGGTACGAAAGCAGGGGGCAGGAACAGAAAAGATGTGTACACAGGACAATGGGTTCCCCATGCAGCCTGGGGCGGAGTCCAGCGTGAGGATGGCGGGAGGCCAGAGTGGAGTCTGACTGTGGAGCCTTCCATACCAGCCCCTGTCCCCCACGGTCCACAGCGCAAAGCTGAGAAGATGGAAGGCTGCCGGCAATACCTTTTCAGACACAGACTAACTGGTGTTACCCAGGACAGCAACCTGGATGATGGAATCAATCTTGTGGAAAGATTAGCATTATTACTTATAGGAGGCATAATATTATAGATGCATTGATCTGTAGGAAATAGTAACCTAAAAGATGTGAATAAGTAGTCTATGAAATAAGTGGTTTTGAGATAAAGCTTTATTGTGTACCCTGTGCCTTGCCTGCATTTGCTATGCACGTTGGCAAATGAAAGGCTCTGAGCCATTCTAGGGCCAGAAACCCAGTACATGCTGCTCAGGTCAGGCCTCCTCAAACTCCACATAGATTTTCTCCCGGAGCAGAGTTCCTCAGGACCTGGCTTGGGATGCTGCTTTACAGTTTACAAAGCACCTTCACATTTATTTGCTCTTTTGATCCTTGGAACGGGGTCTTATTTTCCTGATGGCACAGATGAGGAAACCGTAGTTCACAGAGGTGACATGCCAGAGTCAGCCAACTAGCTAAGAGCACAGCCAGACTCCAGTCCAGGTCCCAGCTTATGCCTCCATGGTATGGACTTACTGGAGAAGTGGGAAGCCATGGCCAGGGTCAGATTCTATCAAGAGATATTTAGGCAAAGACGCTAGACTGCAATAAAGCCAGGAAGGTTTGCCAGCAGGCCAGGCTTGTGGTACCGAGCTGTGGGTGGAGGAGCGTGTGCGTAATGTGGACTGGGCGACCTCAGTAGGGGAGACTGTGTGCAACTGCCTAGGATGAAATCAGAATCAGATGATGCATGGAGCAGGGATGAGATAATCTTCCAGAACCCATCAAGGCGGCTTGGCATCTCTTGGGCTTGAGCTGCACTATAGGCAGGTGTCAGAGACCTTGGCAGGTAACAGAGGGAGATAGAGAGAACCCAAGTGGTGGGAACAGAACCTGCAGCTGAAGGAACATATGTTGTTCTTGAAATGGCAAGTCAAGTCTAGTGGCTTAGTCACCTCTACAGGAGGGCTGGCCCCAGAACCGAGGACTATCTGTTTCAATCTCCAGTGTGTACAGAGCAAGAGGAAAAAGGGGGCCCTGAGCGGAGATGGAATTAGAGGGGGAAAGAAGCCCACCCTCCACAGTGACTCGTGTGGGACTTGGGAGGGCCGGTACCTCAGGCAAAGGTGTGGTGATGCCTCTCCCGAAGGTCTCTATGGAAGGAGGGATGCACTTTGAGTGAGGAGGGGTTACAGGCTATGGGCCTGCAATTTGGGATGAAATGAGTCCAGAAGGAGGTGTGGGAGGGAGAGAAGGTGCCGGTGACTTGGGAAGTACTGAGGATCATCCCAGAAGGCATCCCTATTAGCAATGAGCATCCCTATTAGGGGCAGGAGAGCAAAGGGGACTGGCAGGCAGGAGGGCTAGGAGTTGGGTGAACAAGAGTGGCCACGAGATGGGGCAGAGGAACACACAATATAACATCCCCAAGGATGGGCCACGCCCTGATCACCTGTCATTTCAGGGCAAGACCCGCTCCGTGCCAGTTCACTCTCACTGGCCACTGACAAGGTAGAGCACCCGGGAGTGTGCAAGGGCTCGGCGTCGGCTCTCCCTGTTTATCTACTTGTTTGTGCTACACCTTTCAGTCATGGGTGTCTATTAGTCATGGAAACGGGTTTTGTTTCCTGAGGTCAGCTAAGCATGTGACAGACCTAGATTCCATACGATATCTGAATTTCACAACTTGCTGATTATGTACCAGGAATCAGGCTCAGTCAACACAGCCAGGAATGTCCTTCTCAGAGGACCTCTAGCCCCATGGCAGGTTCCCTTGGGGAGCCCCCTGGCTCAGCTCTGGACTTTCCAGGGTTCAGAATCATCTGTGGCATCTGAGCGAGGGTGCCATTCTTTAAGAGCTTTGCATGAAAACATACTTGGCTCATCCACCCTCTTATGCAACCTGGCCCAGGCCCTGTTTTCCTTGGACATCTCCTCCTTGATTTGGTATTTATTTCCAATTCAAATAGCCAGCATCCACACTATGTGCCATTCCTGATTATTAGCCTTAGAGACTTGGGAAGTTTTCCAAAGCAATTATCTCTGGGAAGCACCACTGCCTATTCATAGCATGTAGGCAGCAAAATGAGCATCTTCAAATTTGAGGGGACCTGGGGATTATATCCTTCACTCAACGATTTTATTTGTTGGGAAGCTGCTGTTTTCCTCACAGGCACAAAACTGGACTCCAAGATTCCAATGGGAAAACTCCCAGGGACACTCCCTGGCCCCCTCGCCCCTAGTTATCCCAGATGCCTCCCTAATGTCTAAGCCAGACTCAGCCCACACTGCACAGCCTGAAGGGTGACACTGGGGCACATGGAACAAACTTCTAACTCTTCAGACCTTATCTTCCCATGAAGCAGTCCCCCAGCCCTTGGCCCACACTGAGGAGAGGCTGCATAGAGGAGGAAAAAGAGCACCTGCTGACTTCTCATCCTTGCATCGTCCCTTTCTGCTTATATGACACTGTGTGAGGCCACTCTTGGAGCCTCAATCTTTCATCTGTAAAATGCAGGTGGTAACAGGTGCCTTGAGATGCCAGATGTTAGGCGACTCCATGCCCTTGATACTAATGGGCACCCAATAAATGTGAGTTTATACTCTGCCTATGAGTCTTAGAACTTGTGTGCAATGGGCAGGCACCATGCCCAGCATGGCTGTTACCCAGCACAGTCCATATGATCTGCCCATCAGCGCCATGCACTGCTAGGGGCAGAGGCTAAGTCTTACATTTCTCTGTATGCCTCCAAATCCAAGCATTCCAATGCTTCCTCCAGTGGCTGAGGCTCTTCTATCAGCACTTCTCTGCTCTTGGGGAAAGCTCATGTTCTTACACACACACACACACACACACACACACACACACACACACACACAGTTCCAGGGCCCTTCAGGATCTCATCCCTGCCTATCTGCCCAGCATCATTTCCCACGAAGTTCTCTGGACTCACTGGCTTGTTCCTGCCTCTAAGCCTTTGCACAGCTGGTCCTCTGCCTGGAACACCCTCTCCCCTCCTTGCCTCCTGCCCCATGCCCTCGTCACTGAGCTAGCGTCACTCCAGAGCTTTCTGAGAAACGGCATCTCCGAAGCAAAGCCACTGAGCTCATCTTACAAATCACTTGGAGGCCCCTGAGCCCCAGTTCTCAGCCAGGTGTGCTAGGGTTTGGAGCCCAGCATAGACATGGACAGGCATGCTTGCTGCCTCTATGGCCAATGCAAGTCTCTCCTGACCCTTACTGAACTGAGGTCACAGACACAAGCCCTCAGAGGAGCCAGTGATGCCTGCTTCTGTCTCAATTCGATCGTTAGGAGAGAGCAACAGATAGTTCTGTTTTAAAGCCCTAGAGAACTAACTGATCACAGGCTGAGGCACCAGACTGGCTTTCATGTGGCTGCCTTGTTGTCCCTGCCCACCTCTTCACCTCTGCCTGGAATGACAGCAAGGACTTAGGTAGAATAACTGAGGTGTCTTGCACATGACTGTGACCTGCACTGGTCTCCAAAATGCTGGCTTTCCTTGACGTCCCATGTCCTGTTCCAACTCCCCAAGTTCTCCTGCCACCAGCCTCACCTCATCTCACCCTCTTCCCGGTCCCCATAGTACCTCCTGATCCAAGCGTTGGTCTCTTCCTCTCACAGTCTACATGCATCCTGATATTCTCTCATATCCC